AAGTAGAAAAGAAGCGAAGAGAAAGAAGAGATAACAGTATGGATAAAGGAGAATCATAATAAAGAATAGCAATAACGAAATTGTTCCACAGCTCATGACTTTTTTTGGTTCCAACTATGCTTTTAGTTTCCTTAAACAAAAAGAAAACAACTTTGCTTAGAGTCTCTTTATTGGACGAAAACTTGAAAAGAGTTTTGACTTCGTACAAAAATATTTGTCATCTATTACTTGTTCAATTTTTTTTTAAAATTTACCAAATCAAACCACGAAAGTTGCGTGAACTGATCAAATCAAATATATAAGAAAAGAGACAGATCCTAAAACTCTCTCTAATTATATCTCTATTACACACCAATACCATCATCATAGTCTTTAACACTGAAGCAGAGTTTTGATCTGAGATTTTCTCAGGCAGCTAAAGTTAACTTACACAATAATATACATCATAAAGTTGCATAGTTTACGAATTTAAAACGACAAAAAGGAGAAGAGAGTGATTTTTTTTTTAAAACCTGAAGATTTTACTTGCTGCGTAATTTGTCCGCGACATAGAGCATATGACTGATGTTTGTAGGAGGATAGTTCTGAAGAAGTTTGAGGTTCGACGTAAAATCTCCAGCAAGCAAACGCCTTCGAACTAGAATCAACATTGCACAACATATCCGCAGTAGCGTCTCCTGCAATTACAAGACATCAAATGCCCGTTAGCTCTAGCTTAAATTTTAGAATAAGATGCAAACCGAAGCTGATTTCGAGGACTATAACACATACGAATCTGTTGTATCGTTATACAAGCATACGTTTTTAATGTCCTAAACCCAGATGCTCAAAGGTATTGAAACCTTTAATGACTCACAAGAATGCAACATGTGAAATTGACCTTGTTCACGCTGAATGGTGTTACAGTGAATAATACCTGAGGACCTTCGGGGTCGCTTAAGAGTGTGTCCCAGATGTGAAGGCTTTCCACGAAGTTGAACTCTTGAGTCAATAGGAGTGTGATCCATCTGAACGCATAGAATTGCGGGTTTATCTGGAAAAAAAATGAACATACAGGTCTCGAATGAGAAGCTCGAAGTTTAGATAGCAATGATCCACATTTTGGTTGTTTTTACTCTAGTGTTTAGGGTAGATTAGGGATTGAAAGATTCAGCAAAACATTAATGCAACATAAACAGGCAACAATACATACCGGAAAAATCTAGACAGAACTAATGAATATACATACATAGGAAGACTTTGCTCATTAGCCATAGTTGTGTGTGATATCTTACTTTGGTTGTGACTTCTAGATGACGCCAAAGTTCTTCGTCATGATGTTTCAAGAGCATGGAAAGCCTTGTTATGGTGTAACGTATACCCACGACACTGTTATCAAGTTGTTGACAGAAATTATCTCGAAACCCACTCATCAATTCAACAAAACAGAAAAATGCATCTGATTCAGCGTACGCCTGCATAAGTTATAATGACAGTGTTAAGCAAATAAGGAGAACTAGTGGTGTGTTGCCCAAAAAGGAACCAAAAGAGGTAGAAACAATGTGAGTTCAAATCAAAATAAGAAAAAGAAAATGGTACATTTGGAGAGACAAGTACTTACTGCATTTCCTTTATCCGGGTCGTTTTTAAAGATGTAGAAAATGGGTGCCAATATCTCATTCATCCCTTGTACATATCTGATCCCCGGGTTCAACTTTGCAAAAATAGTCAACACGTTCTTCAAAGCGTCCTGTAGATGCAAGACATATGTAAAATCAGTCCGAAAGCTATCAGTGTGCAAATGTTTTGATCATCCCAAACGCTTTAAACTCTAGCAAAACCAAAACCCAACCTGGTTGGATTTTGCAACCGCTGAATCCCCAGAGAAAAAGTGCATGTCTGGATGAGTACGCATCACATCACGCTCGATTTGTTCCAAGACCTCTGTGTCCTGAGCAGTAGCAACTTGAAATTAGGATGAGAATTACTATACTAAACCAGGGTGAGAAAAGGATTTTTTACAAAGTGATCATGTGTGTCATTAATGAGCCATGCTTTTACAAAAGAGAGTACTACAAAGTCCAAAAGCATGGAGCGTGGCACACAGAGCCTTTTAAAGAACTAAAAGCTTCTATGACCATGTCTTTTTGTATGCCTATTGGATAAACACCATTTTCATTACAGACTGACTACGCATTTTTGCTCAACGTCCCTATACAAATATTTTAACTGTGACAATCCTTACCTATTCAAATACATGACAACTGAAGGTATTAAATATAAATATTCACAGGAAAGTTGTTTATTAGACATTACGTAAGGTTGAACTTCTCATGTTCCTATACCTCTCCTAAATCTGCTTTTTAAAACCAACTGGGACGTGGCAAAATCATACTAGTAAATGTAAACCAAATTCTTAGAATTGCATAAATTGGCTGTTACATCCCTATATCCGAGAATCTGATAACTTAGCTACAGCCTAAATCATCCATAACAGTTCTAGGACTTTCAGGCCAAATGTACAATTCGATGATAAATTAATAACATCTAAATTTTTCAATTGTCTCACAATGATTATATTTGAAGATATCTCAATTCTCAAGCTGAAAAACTAAATACCTTGAAAAAATTGTTCCATAAGCTTGTTGATCCGAGACTTAAGGGATGATCCTCATGAGTTATCTCTGACCTTGAAAGAACTCTAGGGCTTTCGATTTTTGGGTCACTACCATCACCACCCTTTGATTTCTCCATTTTCCTCGTTACTTCTGACTAACTAGCCACAAAAATATATAGAAACCAGGGTAATCTTAAATTGAAAACAAAAAAGGAACATGAAAAAGGACGAGTTATCCCCCAGATAATGTAAACAGCTCAACAATAACCAACTCCTTCTTCACTAACTACTATATCTTTACATTGTACGTTTAGGAAGTATCTCATGCCCAGGACCCTAGATCAGTCTGCTTAGTCAAACGGATGACATCTATTTAGCGGTCATCATAACACATACAAGCTTCCAACATATTAAAAAACCAATCTTCTCCATTGAAAATCAGTGAAATCTACTAGGTCAACATACAATCATTTATCTTCTATTGACAGCGAATTTTCATCATCACGCGCTTAGCTAGTGGCAACTCACTCGTTACATCCTGGTTTAACAAATATGCGATTGTGTCTATCATATCAATCTAGCTAGCTATCCACACTAATCAGAAGTTTGATGGAATTATCTCCCCAAGAGATGAGCAAAAGAGAACACCGACTAACCCCATTATCATGTTTCTCTTCGAAAACCTAATCAACATATTGTTCTGAGTACCAAATCACCAAAACGGACTTACAGGGTTCATCAGAAGCTCCTCTTTGAATTGCTTGTACTGCGACCTTTTCTTAGCTAACTCAGAAGACCACAGTGAACGATCCGGTGACAGATAACCCAATAAAAGCTGTCAACATTCAAGAGACCAATATGAAGCAAAAAAAACTGAGAATAATCCATTCCTTCAACTAAAATTGCATACTCAAAAACAAAGTAAACACTGAATCAAGCAGATTCAAAGAGAACTCATCAAATCAAGAATAGATTGCATTACCATTACTAAAAACCACAGTAACAATACAAAGGTAGTGAATGTGTTTTACCTTCCAGACAAGAGAGCGAATCCCAGCATCATCAGGTAAACCTTGGGAAGCTATCTTCCTCAATTCCTTCAAGTCTATCACCTTCTTAGATAACTGGAAAATATCCAGATGAAGGAGAAATCAATCAAAATGTACACAGAGCATGAGATTTTTTTTTTTTTTAGCACTAACCTCAGCGACGACCTGCGCCTTTCGAGAAACATCCTCAGCTGCTGGAAGAGTTTCGGTTCCAGAACCATCGTTACCAGTCGCATTATGCGAATCGTTGATCACAGATTTGGAAGGAGGACGAGCCGGAGCTGGTGCGGTGGAAATGGCGGAGGGAGGAGGAGAAAGAGGCGGACGGTCGACGATCGGAGGAGAAGGAGCGACGGAAGTAGTAGCGTCGGGAGGATGGCGGCGAGTGCGATCGTCGTCGACGGTGGGAGAAGGAGAGGAGGAGGTTGTGGACCAGAGGGAACTGTTGAGCCACTCTGGGATGCCTTTCTTGGCCATTGATTAATTTCAGATTTTTGAGGTTTGATTTTGGGAAATGTTTTGTGAGTTCAGTTATGTGAGTCTCTCCCTTCTTTCTACATCTCTCTTTCTTCTTTCTCCGAGATGCCAAAAACCAAATGTGCAAACCCGCCTTGGTTCAGTTATTAACCGAAACTAAACGGAAATCGATTTTCGAAACCCGAATTTGATTTGTGTGTCAGTTTGAACTTTCAAGTAGTGGAAACTATTTTTGTCATTTTGTTGTGTATTGAAAGGAAATGCTTCGGCAATTTGAATTTTCGGTTTGTCGAGTGTTTCGTGTTGTCATCAAAACCAACCGAATAAAACTATGGTTTGGTTTGGTAGGGTATTCTTTTTAATGAAAGCCTGAATTCAACCGAAGTTTTGAGGTTTTCCAAATTCGGTCAAGTTCGGGCTACTTTGGTTCCTCAGTTTGGAAATTATAAATATATTTTCGTAATATCCGATATAATTTGGTAATAAGTCGATTCGGAAAAATTAGAAAGAAATTTAAGAAAATAATCTAAGAACCAAACCAAATCGAGACCCATAGTTATTTTGAAAACTGGCGGATTGTTTTCGAACTCAAAACCAAATGGAACCGAAAACCAAAAAAAACAGATTTGGTCGGTTCAGATTGGTTTCGTTCAGTTCAGTTTAAGTCCTAGGCCTAGTTAGCAGACATTATATCAGAACGAACGCTCCAACAATGATGCATGCAATCTATAAGCTTAATACGAATTGTGTACATGCCTAATTGAATGAAAGCTCGGTTTACTTAAACCAATGACAGGTTAATGGTATAAGTTAATTCGACGAACAAGGTAACTCCTCTTAATGGGCTTAAAAATGTGATCTTGGCCCATTTGATTGTCAAAAAGAAATTAAACGACTTGTTCATCTCTTTCTGCAGTGAGTAAAAAAAAAACAAAGCAAAGGGACGAAATGGCGGCGGCGAAAGCAACGGCGGTGGTTTTGCCACGGCCGGTAACGTTTGTGACCGGAAACGCAAAGAAGCTCGAAGAGGTCAAAGCCATCATCGGAAATTCCATTCCTTTCAAGTCTCTCAAACTCGACCGTGCGTAACTGCTTACTACCACTTTCGATTTTTCTCTCGATTCCTACTTTCAATTTCTCATTAGGCTCATTGTTATTTATGTGTGTGTGTGTGTGTGTGTGTTTGTGTGTGTGTGTGTGTGTGTGTGTGTGTGTGTGTGTGTGTGTGTGTGTGTGTGTGTGTGTGTGTGTGTGTGTGTGTGTGTGTGTGTGTGTGTGTGTCTTGATCTGCAGTGCCTGAGCTGCAAGGTGAGCCTGAGGATATCTCCAAAGAGAAGGCTCGTTTGGCTGCTCTTCAGGTTCACAAGCTTCTACCTTTTTCTACTTTTGGTTGGACTACTCAGCTATTTTACTTGAATTGATATCATAATCATTCTTATGTTAATTGTTACATTGTAGCTGAATGTGTACTAGTAATAGTAAGTTAGTGGCTAAGGATCGTAAAAACACTGATATGAAGTGTGTTTTTGGTTGTTAATGTGAAGGTGAATGGGCCAGTTCTAGTGGAGGATACATGCCTCTGTTTCAATGCTTTGAAGGGTCTTCCTGGTATGATCTCCTTTAGATTCTAAAGTTTTTTTTTCTTTCACTATGTACAGAAAATGGTCACACACTATCTGACTTAATATCGATTTCGTTTCCTTTTTTGTTGGATGTTTCAGGGCCATACATGTAAGTTTTGTTCCTGAATCTTTCTTGACTGGCAACTTTATCTGGATAAAGTTTTGTCCTGAGTTCTTCTAGGCGCCTACTGCTTAGTGTTTGAGTGAGTAACCAAAATGGAGTTATCTTATTGAATAATCTTATCCTGGATGTCCTGATTTATTAAAAGACCTCTCATTTCTTAACTTACTGCTAGCTACCGATGTTATCTGAGAATGAAAAATTGGAGCTAGGAATATGTATTTGTTGGGAGCCTGGGATCTAAGTCTAACTACTGGTAAATATCAGATTGAAAGTAGTGTGGGACTAACTGAATTGAAGTTATCTAGCTGTCTCTGAAGTTCTTCTTTGTAGCACCTTTGATCTTCTTCTTTCCTGTTATTTGCAGCAAGTGGTTTCTTGAGAAGCTTGGTCATGAAGGTTTGTAATAGTCTAATGTTTCTCTTTCCTTTCTCACCTTAATTAGCCTTTTATCTATTAGATTGGTAACACCAAATCTTGGTCTGAATCATGTTCAGGTCTGAACAACTTACTGATGGCCTATGAGGATAAATCTGCATATGCATTGTGTGCATTCTCTTTCTCGCATGGTCCTGGTGCTGAACCTCTTACATTTTTGGGGAAAACTCCGGTATGTTAAACATTGTCACCGCTCTTTAATCAAACTCTCTGCTAGTCGCTTTTAGCGTTTTTTCACATGTTGTTTAGTTGTCAAAGTTTGATTGTTTTGTATTTGTAATTGATGTGTTAGGGTAAGATAGTTCCAGCAAGAGGACCGACTGATTTTGGGTGGGATCCAGTGTTTCAACCGGATGGATATGACCAAACGTACGAATCTGTTTATCTCCCAGAAAACATAGTATTAAACCTCGGTTTTTTTCCGGGATATTCTCATGGTAAAAAGGCAAAAACTGAGCAAGCTTAGTGTGTCATGTGTGATATCTCTTGTTTTGTTGGTTGTAGTTATGCAGAAATGGCAAAGGAAGAAAAGAACAAGATATCTCATAGGTACAAGTCTTTAGCAATGTTAAAATCTCACTTCAAGGAGGCTGGCTATGTGTTCCAGACAACAGATGGTGATACCGTTTAAAAGAGAACTGATTTGAGCATTGATTCTTGTTCCCTCTTCTAAGCTCTTTTGGTTGTATCGTTCATGATGTTCTTTATATTCCCCGATGGTGAGACTTGTATGACGAATCTGATAAACCTTATTCGACCAAAAGGATAAAACAAAATATTGAATAATGTTTCACTAGCAAAAGAAAACTTACAAAAAGACAAACTTAACGTGATTAGGAACCTAGACAAGCACTCTTACTTCAACATAAGTTTCAAAACAAAAACACAAAAAGGTGAAAATATTTACTTTTTGCTCAAGAGATGCCTTATAGTGTGAATCTAATCATTATCATGACACCTTGTCGGTTGTGATTGATTATGTAGTGGAAGTGGACTGCATTCGTATTAATATCGTTTTGGATGTTGAAACAAAACAATGTTTTACAAAGAATCTGAAATCTTTAATTTGTAGGCAGAAAGTTGATCAAACGCATCTCGTTGATGTCACTCGATAAAGTGGTTCATCAAGAAATGAGTTGGTTCGATGACACAATGCATTCCAGGTAAACCCTCAAATTCCAAATCGCTAAACGCTAAACAACAAAATGCGTTTCCTTTGTATAAAATAGTGTGTTGTTATGGGTATTGTTTTGAAGTGAGATGTGTTTTGGTTGTAAATGTGAAGGTGAATGGGCCAGTGCTAGTGAAAGAGGATAAATGTCTCTATTCAATGCTTTGAAGGGTCTTCCTCCTGATATGATTTCCTGGATTACAGACGTAGATATGCATAAGGTGATCAAGTTACAAATATATGTTCTTTTATCTTTATCTATGAATCTTTTCTTGACTGGTAACTTTATTTTGATGTCTGAGTATGGTTCAATAAATACTCTGACGGTGAGACTTATATGGTGGTACAATGTTTCACATGAATTGTCGTTTGTGATCACACAACAAAGTATTTACGAATCCAAAAAGGAGTAAAAAAACAAAATCCCTTACTTGTAACGTGCAGAGCAAGGACCAGAACCACTAAAATCTCAAACCTAAAAGAAGAAAGAAATATATGATAAAACTGTTTAGGAAGGATTGCTATTGTGACCTTAAAAATAGCTGAAATTAGTAGAATAACCTTTCATTTTAAAAAAATCCGATTTTACCCTCGGGAAGCTTTGATGAGAAAAAACGTATTTACAAAAATGCCATTATTAAATTATTTCCACGTCAGCCGTTAAAATCGGACACCCAGAAATAAGTCTATCAAGCTTAATGATAGATATATAAGTTTTGGTAGATTTAAAAATATGTCGGTAGACATAATAATTTTTGGTAGACTTAATATTCCAAAAATAGATTTGTTTAGATGTTGATAGACTTATAATGATAGATTTATTTTCATCGAAAGGTAGATATTTGAATGTGTTGGTAGACTTGTTGGTTTTTAAAGTAGATTTATTTTCAAGTTGGTAGACATAATGTTGTTGAGTTGACTTTGTGAGATGTGGTTGACCAATATCGGTAGACTTATTAACTTTCATAGTAGACTTGTTAGACACAAAAATAGACTTATTTCTAATAAATATAAATCTACTACAATATAAAAAATATATTCGTGATAGTTTTGTTGTATGCATGGTAGATGTAAATGTCGATAATAGATTTGTTTTGAAATAATAGACTTGTTTTCTGTGTGGTAGACTTAAAAGTTCCGTTAGAGAGTATAGATATGTGATAGACATATGGAACTATGTAATAGATATATTTGGCGGTGGTAGACTTATTGTTTTAAAAAATAGATTTATTTGATAATATGGTAGACATATAACTCATTTGGGAGCTTCGATGTTGGTAGAGTTATTTGAAAATTGGTAGACCTATTCGAAATTGGTAGACATATTAAAAATTAATAGACATATTTACTTCACTGAACGGTAGACTTAATGATATGAAATGACGTTTTTATCAAATAGTTATTATCAAATTTTTCTGTTCCAACCACTGCATCTTGTAGTTCTTATGATTTCCTCTCTTTACCTCTTTTGGAGTACTATTTGTATCTTGGAGGAAAAAGTTTTAGTTGTTGATTGGGAAATTGACTATAGTGATTTCGTAGGTATGGTTTATGAAAATTTTGACTTGGATCAATGCTATTATGAGGTTCGATTGAGTTATATGTTGTTGAAGATATACTTGCAAAAGCTACCACAAGATACACTTCTGGGTTTTTAGCAAGTACTCGACAACTTGGTGGTTTTTTGCGATAATTTGAAAACAAAACCGTCCGTCCATTTATGCGTCTAGATTATAGACAAAGCGGAATCCAAAAATATCGTCAAAGATGTCGAAACTTCAATCGTATAAGGTGATGATTAAACAAGTAAATCATACATGATTCAATAACTATACAATACCATATATGATTAAACAAGTCTACCATACATAAATCAACTATAACATACAAAGAACTATATCATACATGATTCAACAACTCAACCATACATATAGAGAACAATAACTCTATCATACATGATTCAACAACTCTATCATACATGATTCAACAACTCTATCATACATACACCAAACAATAACTTTACAATACACGGTCTAACAAGTCTACTATACATGGATGTCTGATTCCTGAAACACACACAAATTAGGGTTAGCTTTATTTTCGAAAGCTCACTTTCAGCCGCCGTTGCAATTGTAACTCTATCTTTCGCACAATCGACGCTGAAAGTTCCTTTTCAGCCCCTGCCACCATAGGTGACTGGTGTCTTTCGCCCAAAAAACACTGGAAGTTCCCTAATATGCTCGCCGGGTCCTCACATCGATTTTCTGAAGAAGATGAAACGGCTTCAAGGCCTCAAACACGAAATTGCCAGAATCACAGATTCGCCGGAAATACAAAAAAATTCAGTATAATAACTCTATCATACATTATTAAACAAGTCTACCATACATGAAACAATTAATTATATATGATTCAATAAATCTATCATATACGGAAAACTGACGTGTTCGTCGCCGAGAGAAGGTTTGAAATCAACTTTTTTGTCTTTCGTCTTCTCCGGTGCTTGATGTAGCCGACAAGCCGACAATGGTAAAGAACGCGAAAATGAAAAAGTGAATGAAACGAAATGACGAAGAAAAACGAAACGACAAATGGAAAAAAACTTATCGGAGATGCAGAATAGACCGATAAGAAGCATAGAAGGTGACCGGAAACGATGCAGACGCCGGAAACTCGCAAAATCTAGAAAATCATCGTCATCGTCGGTTTCTCAGCCACCTCTAGGTTTTTTTTCGGAAATGAAATAGAAATTAGGTTGAAAACGAAATCCCATAGTTAATAAAAAATTTTTTTTTTTATTATTTTTTTAAAAATTAATTAAATTACGAAAAAAAAAAAAAAAAACTGATTTTCATGTGTGAGGAGTTACACTGTCTTTTCCACGCTGGTAAGATTATTCTAGCAAAAATGTAAGGGACCTAGGTTACTTTTGCAAACAGACCTGTTTGTAAGGTCATTCTAGTAATTGTTCTTAACTGTTTATGGGTTTGACATCACATCACATGTTAGTGTAACAGCTTTTTCAATTACTCACTCTCAACTATTTTGTGGATATATTCCTGCTAGTTCACGATTTCCACAAGTGGTTTAATTTAGGTTGCAATATAAAATCAGAATCAATCTCATCATCCTTTAATGAAAACACGGCAAACAAAGCAACAATCAAACAAAACATAGAGACAACGGAAATTGCAATCAAATCAAAAACTTTTCTCAATCGTCTTGTAACAATTTTTTTTTTGCTTCTACTACTATCTCTAACTTGAAAGAGAAATCCAAAAACACGCTAGAATTCAAGGGAGTGAGATCCATTAAAACCAAAGGACCTTAACAACTCCAAAACCCAAAAGAAAAAAACTAAAGAGGCCATAAGAGAACTGTAGACTAATCAAAGGAAACCTTTTGAACAACGCTTCTATGCTTGCTCTTCTCTGTTTTCCCACCTTTTTGAAGAAGAAGACGAAGAAGAAGCAAGCCGAGGTTGACCAATTCCTATCACCGGGAAGAAACACAAAGTGGGAAATGACAGAACACTGACATGACCCCAAAAAACAAATAACCGAAAAGAAGAAGAGTACTATTATATATGCACTTTCCAAAGATATGGGAAAGGGTTTTTAGGGTTAGTAAAGTCTATGGTGGTATAGAGAGGGGCTAGCAAAGTCTGCCTTTGCGGCAACCTAGTGCTCCTGCAGTAGAGGTAATAGTGTCGACCATTGATGATGGTTTAGCTGCTAAGCTTGAGGCTCGTCCATAGCTAGCTGAAGCTCCTGCTCCTGATGCCCTGAAGAATGCTCCATTCAGTAGAAGGTCTCCTTCCGACCTCCAATTCCACTTCTTCCACTCACTTGCATCCGTCTCTACTCTTTTTGTCACCTGTTGATTCACATTTTGGTATAAGGAACAATTACAACACCTTCCTCTGTTTTAAGTCAAACAAAGGTTTTAAGAAACTGGACCTCTTTGGCAAAACGATCCATGGGAGCAGCATATCTGTTTCCTTGACTGTTGATGGTTGGCTCTGCACTCCCACCAATGGCGTACATCTCCCAGTGTGTGTAGTCGTTGTTAACCACATGGAAATAACCATGTCTACACCTGCCATTACAAAAACCAGTTTCTACTATCAGAACAAATGGCGACTTAAATCTGTATAAGAAGTTGAGTAACAAATGATTTATTACTTACCTTGGCATCCTCTGAACAAGTCCTTTTCCAAAATGGTTGTAAGCAATGGTCACTTGCATCAGCTTGTCTTTTGTGTACGAGTCACTGTGCCCTAGCAACATCACCTCATTGTGGTGTGTAAAGTGGTTATTAGAGACGGTAATAGCAGTGGAACCCATGACAGCATCAACAAGGCCATCGGCACAGTGAGAGAGAGAGTTGTGATCAATCCAGATATGAGATGATCCAAAAATGGAGACTGCGTCACCATCAGCCATTGTCCTCCAACCGAAATGAGATGGCGAGCTTCTAACCATTGCGTTTCCAGTAGGCTTGCAATCGTGAATGTGAAGACCATGGATGATGACATTCGTGATAAACTGGATAGTGATGCAAGCACCGTTGGCTATATGGACATTAGCACCACGACCATCAATGGTCTTGAAACTGTTCATGATCAGCTCCTGTTTTAGCACTATCACCATATCCCTTTTGAACACAATCCACAGAGGCTCCTCTTGGATAACCGCATGGCGTAGAGTTCCTGGTTTGGGGTTAACAACGTCTTCATCAGTCGGGTCAGTGACGACGTAGAAACGTCCATCACGACCACCAATTGCGTTTCGTCCAAAACCGATCCCACAATCCGCGAGACGTTTACGGTTCTTATGCCAGTTACGGTCACAACGCCAGCAGTCATCGATTGGATTGCCGGTTCCACAAGAGAAAAATCCCAGCTTTCTCCTTGCTGTGATGTTTTGTTCGCTCCTGAAAAAATTAACTTGATACATTAATTCCACAAACATCGAATTCAAAAAAGGAATTTTTTTTTTACCGGGATAAAAACATTTCAGCCATTTCAGCCGCCGTTTCTGTTTGATCTAACCAAACGTAATAAATTCCGGTTCCTATCTTTTGTTGGTTTATGAGGTCAATAAAGTGGTTCCCGAGTAAAAAATCGAAACTTTTTTGGTCCATTAATGTTGAGCTGGTGAAAAAACTAAAATAGACCAGGCCGTAATATCCATAGATGATAGAGACTTTAAGAACTAAATGCCACAAAAAGATGGTAGAAGCAGTTGCCAAATCACCAAATTCAGAAATAAAAGTGAATCGAATTAATTGAAGACGCCGTTAAAAACAAATAAAGAAGTTACAAAACAAAACAATGTCCGTGCAAGTCTGACAATCGCGAGAGCGTGGTGAAACGACAATGTGTCAGTTTTTATCGGAGGGATGGTTTCATATCTATAAGGTTGTAGCTTCACGACGAAAATTAAAGCGAGAGAGAGAGAATAAAAAAGGTAACAGACAAAATAAAAAGCAAAAGCTTTTTTTTTAATACCCATGAAAATAAAACTAATCAAGGCACTTGTCGTCTAAAATGCAATTTGCAGAGAAATCAGAAATGCTTTTTATTCACAGCTAATTCCCGAGGAATTGAATAAATGCAATCACACAAAAAAGTGAAAGTTAGAGAGAGAGAGAAGAGAGAGAGAGAAACGCACATCTGAACAAGCGTAGCGACTTCATCAGCAACCTTATCTGGATCAGCGACCGCGTGATGTTCTTCATTTACCTCGACACCATCAAGCCTGCGCAAATGACGCGACCAACCATAAACTAATTTATTTAACCAATCAAATCCATTTATGACACGTGGCATTATATGAACGCAAGTAATAAAACGATATATGTACACGCGAGAGTAGGAAACTGCGTTTTAAAATAAATTGACCAACCTACCCTTGTGAGAAAATACGTTAATTACTGACGTGGAGTATCGGATTTATTAAATACTAAAAGACGAGACAGAAGCATGTGTGAGTGAGAGCGGCGATGAAATAACTTAGCACGCTACATTCGAGGAATCAAAAAGGAGCGGTTCAACGGATCCAAGGATCCTATTACGTTTCAACGGCTGAGATCGTTTAATTAAATTTCAACCTTTTATTTATTTTAAAAAACAAAAAGGGATAAACCTAGCGGTTAACAGCGCGTTTTCATGTTTTGAGAGCGGCGGCAAAAATAAAAATAAAAAAATTGGAAAATCGAGTTTTTGTTCCCTCTTTCACCTGTTCGCCGCCATTGTTGAGGTGTTTTTTGAGCTCTGCACCTTCTCTGTTTTCAGCTTCCTAACAAAAATAATGAATCGAAAAACAGAGAAAAGTTATTACTGAATCTGGAGTTATTCAAAACTCTCACAAATCTACGAGAATAAAGTCGTGAATAAGTAAAACTAGGAGAGAAAAAAAACAGCTGCAAATCGTTAAATTAGGGCACAAATCTACGAAATAGAGAAATAGTTGAAGCAGTTTTTTCAATCGGAGATGGAAAAACGTCAAAATCCTTCGCAGAAATTGAGAATGCAGCTTAAACAGAGACCTAAAAACAGAAAATAAGGCTCAAATCTACGAAATAGAGAAGTCGTTAAAGCGTTTTTTTCAATCAGAGAAAAAATCCTTCGCAGAAATTGAAAATGCAGCTCAAACGGAGACTTAAACAACGACGCAGAAGAAAAAAAAAACAGAGAAAGATGCGAGGAAGGAAAAATCGTTCAAGCGGATTTTTTTCATTCAGAGATGTAAAATATCAAAATCCTTCGCTGAACATAGACAATGCAGCTTAAACGGAAACGGAGCAGAAAAATAAATGGCGAAGAAGGAGAGAGAGAGAAACCTGGAGTGAGAGATGTCATTGTTCCGGAAAATCGCTATGGTGACGGTGAGAGCTAAGAGGAAGAGTACAGCCAAACAAACGGTGGTCAATCTCTGAGAAGACGACGCCATTGAAGCTTCTTTCTCGAAATTTTCTCTCACTTTTTTTTTTCTCGGAAAATAAGCAGAGAGAAGAGAGAGAAAAAGGTAGAAGAAGCAGAGACGAGTGAAGTGCACAAGCTCCAAGGAAACCGTTTTCGTTATATATACGCAAGAAAAGAGAAACGTTAACGTTGCCGTTAAATCGACGCCGCTACTTAACGGGCAGTGAAGTGTGTTACTTTAAGGTCAGGTTAATAAGCTGATTAAGTTAAAAGTTAATTAGCCAAGTCGCCACCTTTTTTGCCGTTAAGTCTCTAATTCTAACGCCGTAACTATTAACCAAACTCTCCCAACTGCCGTAACTGCCTCATGTCTCATGTGTATATAATTATTATAAAAAACTGTTAGAATAAAGAAGAAACCATCGGTATTTACATTTTTTGTAATCATCAAACGTTATTTACTCTCACTAACTTTCGCTTTGTTTTTATAATCGAATGATTATTATTTATTACTTTATCCAGTCCAAGACAAAGAAAATAATTAAATATATAACTTAAATATTTTAACATATTCAAAGAGTAAATAAATGGATAAAATGTGAAAGTGTAATTAAATATTTTACTCGTAGAGTAAATTAATGATATTGGTGTGATAATCAACTGTAACAAATTAAATATATCAGTAGTGTCTTAAAGGTAGAACTGTAATAGTAAGAGATGGAACAAATGTCTGAGACCTTCTAATTATAAAATAAATTTGACAAACCTAAAATTTAAAATAATAAACAGAAAAATTTAACTGCTACTGGCGCCAGAGCTATAACTGTACCAAAATTAAAGTTGAAAGCTCTTTTTTTTTGTTGGTAAGAAAACTTGAAAGCTCTTAAATATATCGTTCCACACATCTAAAAATTTTAGAATAAAATATACTCCGCCATGACATAGTTAAATTGGTGAAAAAAAATTTCTTAATATATTCTTAATATATTTTTATACTTTATTTAACAGTGAAAACTAAAAAGTTATTTTTTTACTTCGTTATTGTTGGAGGTGAAAACCGTATCCCTAGTTTTCTCCGGTACAAACCGAGATCAACACGAATTAAGCTTGGTTTACGAGGGAATTGTATCGAGAAGATTGGGCCAGGCGAGCTTATAGGCCGAACACGGCCCGATAAACTAAAGTCGGTCGGAACTTTTCAAGAATCGAGAAGGATCTTGAGTTCGGATGGAAAAGGAAAGTTTCCAAATAAAAAAAGGAAACTTCTGAAAGAAAAGGAAAGTCTTCTCGGTCCCATATCGAGGAGATGTCCTGCAAAGACCGACTTAGAGCACATATATAAAGGGAGAGGAATCAACACCCGGAACAGAAAAAATCCCGAGAGATTTAATTAGAAACCGAAAACTCAAGATATTTGCTAGCTTCTTAAGTTTCTTGAGTCCTAGTTCGTTTATCACTTCCATAACGAACTCAGTTGTATTTTGTCCGATCTAATAAAATCCGAGTTTCCGATTTGAATTACTGTTTTGCCCCTTGTGTGATATCATATATCAACAGTTACACTTAGACATCTCCAACATATAACTTTATTTTTTACTTTATTTTAGAATAATTCCAAAATGGAGTTGTGTTTTACTCTAACTCTACTTCAATTTTTCTGTAAAATAGAGTCACGACAAAAAAATATAATAACTATTTTTTTCTCTGTATTTGAAATAACTATATTTTTTACTCTATTTTAGAGTAAAATATGGAATATAACTTCACAAAATTTTGCTCTAAACTCTATTTTAGAGTGAAATTTAGAGTAGAATTGGAGATAGTCTTACAGTAAGATGAAGACAAATCTCCACCAAAACCATATAAAAGCCTTGAAAAAAATATTGATTACAGAAATTTGAAAATATTATAATTATAATTTATATCTTCAATAGCTAAATCGAATTAATCTAGCAAATTTTATAATTTTGAGGCTCTAATCAACCTTTTCTGGTCAAAGATTTTTGAAGCTGAAATTTTTTTTAAGAGAAACCCAACGCTTTTGATAAACTTGCGATAATTTGTTAAAGATCTTAGTTTTCTACATTTCAATTTGATGTATATTATTGCGAAATACTAAAGTGATATTGTCTCCATTGGTAGACGTTGAAAAGTTAAAATATCTCAAATATCTCACGTATATTTAAATTTGTAGAATCTACAAACCTAGAAAATGCACTCCGATATATTACCGAGAAAGTTACTGACACCTCTAACCAGCTCCTACTAATGGAACTGTCGGAAGCAGTGATTAAAGAAGCCCTATTTAGTATTAATCCGGATAATGCCCCAGGACCAGATAAAATGACGAGTAAATTTTATCAAAAATTCTGGCAGTATATCCACAATGACATAGTTAAATTGGTAAAAAAAAAATTTCACTTCAGGATTCTTTGATCCTAAACTTAATCAGACTAACATATGTCTTATTCAAAAAAAAAAAAAAAAGCCAAGAGCAATGACGAAATTCCATCCAATTAGTCCTTGTAATGTAAGCTATAAAATTATCTCAAAGCTTATGTGTAAAAAACTAAAGAAGACATTACCAAAACTAATTTCAGATACTCAATTAGCTTTCATGGCTATGCGTTTTATTACAGATAACATTTTGTTAGCACAAGAAAATTTTCATACCCTCCGTACAAACACTATTTGCAGAAAAAACTTCATAACCATAAAGACAGATATGGGTAAAGCATATGACCGGTTAAAATGGAGATTCATTGAAGCCCTTATGATCAAGCTAAGATTCTTCGAGAGATGGGTCAGTTTCTTGATGTTCTGCATTTCCTCGGTTTCATACCAAGTCCTTATAAATGGAGAACCGAGATGAAATATTAAACTATCGAGAGGATTGCGGCAAAGAGATCCTCTTTTTCCTTTTCTCTTTATTCTGTGTACTGAGACTTTTATATCACTACTCAATGGAGCAGAGGGGGAAAACATATTACCGGACTGAAAGTATCTCAAGCAAGTCCACCGGTCTCACACCTGTTTTTTGCCGATGATAGCCTCTTCTTTTGTAGAGCGGATATCCACCAGGGAGCCGAGATTTTTAGGATCATTAATACGCATGGATCAGCCTCGGGACAACAACTTAACCTGGACAAATCATCCATCATGTTTGGGAATAAAGTGGATCCGAATATAAAGCGAGGTATCAAAAATGCCATCGGTTAAACTTTAGAATGCGGTATGGGTATGTATCTGGGGCTTCCAGAACAAATTTGTGGATCAAAGAAGAAAGTATTCTCTTATGTCCATGACTGCCTGAGTAACCGTGACAATAATTGGTCGGCAAGACGTCTTTCCAATGGTGGAAAAGAAATTCAAATAAAATTGGTTGCAAAGGCCGTACCTACCTATTTCATGTCATGTTTTCTATTACCCCAAAGAGTGACTACCAAACTGCAGAGTGCCATTGCTAACTTTTGGTGGAGCTCGAAGCAAAATAGTGGCAGGATACACTGGATCGTCTAGGACAAGATTTGCATTCCCCAGGATATGGGATGTCTTAGATTTAAAGATTTACAGGATTTTAACTTAGCTCTTCTAGCAAAACAGCTATGGTGACTTATTCAGTACCCCTCATCTCTCTTGGCTCGGGTGCTAATAGGTAGATATTATAGAAAATCTGACCCTTTAGAGGATCGAAACGTCTATTCACCATCTTATCGGTGGCGGAATATTATAGCCGCAAAATATTTTCTGAAGATGGGCTTAAAAAAGATAATTGGGTCGGGTGAACCTTGGATCCCGGATCTTAGGGCTCGGCCGGCAAGAGCTGCCCCTCAGATCAGATATTGGGACTCGAGATTATTGTTATACTCTTTTATCTGTCAAGATACGAAACAATGGGATTTTCCCCTTTTTATAAGATTTTTTTTTCAACATGAGGATGTCTCTCTCATCTTTGGGCTGAGACCTAGCCGTAACCGCACCTTGGATGGATATACATGGAATCATTCAAAATTGGGATATGATCTGATTAAGAGGATAAAGTTAGATTGGAAAGCTGGAGCGATGAGAGAACCGAGTATTACAGCCCTTCAAAGTCAACTATAGAAAGTCCGTACGCCTGGAAAGATGAAACACTTTATGTGGCAATCTTTATCAAGGTGCGTTACTACTTGCCAAAACCTCACCTAGTCACATTTGGGCTCTAACAAAAGTTGTCCCCGTTGTGGGGATCCAGAGGAGTCTATAAATCATCTATTGTTTCTATGTCCCTCGGCCTTACAAGTCTGGGCGTTATTGGACTTTCCATCCCTTCTGAGCCTCTTCTCGAGTACCTCTATTTATCAGAATATGAGTTTACTCTTTTGGAAAATGAAAGAGCTAGGCATGACAGATCTTCAAATGGATATATATCCTTGGATCCTTTGGTTTATTTGGAAAGCAAGGAACGACAAAATCTTCAACGGGAAAGAAATTTTCCTGGAAGATACCTTGCTCCATGCAAAGGTGGAAGCAGAAAGTTAGAGAATCGCGAACCAACCTGAAGACGATGATGATATAGACAGTGGGACGTTGCTCCCTCCTCCGCCTCCGATATCTCTATCTGGGGACCAGCGGTTTCCGATATGCCGGATTGATGCTTTTTGGATCTATCACAAAACGGTTAGTAGCCTCGGGTGGAGTTTGAGAATGGCATAGGAAATGAGATTTTTGGACTACAGGCTGTCGCAGAAGCCTTTCGGTTCTTCATGTCGAGATGGATAAACTTCTATGGGTTATGTCTTGTTTGAGAGAAAGACAAATGATTTCGGTTCATTTTACTGATTGTTCGGACTTTGTGAGTATGTCTGAATCTCCAACAGATTGGTCATCCTTTATGACAGAGTTGGAAACCTTCTGTATCATTCGAGAGAGCTATTCGAAATTCACTTTATCTCATATCCCCAGAAGTTTAAATGTCTGGGCGGATAGTTTTGTAAAAAGATCTCGAACAAGAGGATTTATTTTTCTCCAAATCAATCATACCAAACC